CTTATTGTAGGTAACATTAAACTCATCCAAAAGATATAATATATAGCCCCGTTTGTTTAACACTTTTTTTATGGCGGCGCTTTTGTCGTAATCTTGATGACACCTAAGTGTTGGGCGCCAAAGTAAATCAATAATATAATTTTTAGTCATCCCATCAAACATCAAACTAATCTATAAATATATACACATCCATATATAAGTACCATCATTACTGTTATTGTTATTATAATAATATAGTTCTAAGGAATAATTTAAGGACGTTAACGAGGACGGGTATATAATATAGTCACAGGCATCAGGACCAATAACCACCGGCGACGAATGACGACCGCGAGATCAAAGTTTCTCACGCGGAATAAATTGGCCAGATTGAGAGACCTAAGAGTCTTATTTCACGATGCGCCTTAGCCTTACCGGTATCACATTCTTAGGTGTACGTTGATGCCGGGATCGGGGATCGCGAGTAGGGAAACCGCATTTTTATCCCACACCCGAGAAATAAATCGCGGGAGGTTCCTGCTAAGACTATATACGCCGTATAGCATATAAGATGAAGAATAAGATGAGAAAGAATTGAAGATCTGAATAAGACAGCCGAGTGCCGAGTGAAGGATTGAGGGAGGCCGTGACGAAAATTCAGTCCCAAGCCTAAGGATTTAGTCCCAGTCCCAGCAGTCCCGCAGAAGGCAGAAGCCGCCTCAGGCGATATGAGTTCTCTCCATCTACATACATCCAGACAAGCTTCATTACACGAAACGTCGTGGTCACGTCGTTCAGTCCAGAGTCAAGATACTGCCCATCGACCAGCGACCTGGGACCGGCAAAGGGGGTACCAATTCAACGGCAGGGTAACCAACGGTTCGCTTATTCTAAAAACCTTCATCATCATCATCATCATCATCATCATCATTGAACACATCTCCAATAAGGAATCATCATCATGATCAAGATGAAGCGTACGAGAATTATGCTACTTTTCTACTCCAGGAACCTTCGAATATCATCATCGCTGGGATCTGGTCCACGTGATCCTGGATCCTGTCCACTACCACGTACCGGGATTCCGATCGAGACGCAAAACGCTCAATAGCAGAATACGTACTCCTTCTAGCGTTCAGGTAGGAGGCAATCGTGAATGCCCTGGCGGACCAATCAGCAAGAGCGCTACCTGATCTGGAGGCGTGGCTAACCTCTCCCCTTCTGTTGGTGTTTCACCTGGATGACGCGGGGCTGGATATCGGAAGATAGAGGGGGGATACCTGGGTACACGGGAACAACGGGTTGCTGATGCTGTCCACGATGACCAGAAGAGTGGTGGGGCCTCTGTTGGGACTACTGTGCATTTCCCACGTGCCCTGGGAACCCTTGCGGCAACACAGTCATTGCTGTATACCAGCCCCCGCACCTCTTCTACGCTATCTTCTTCGCCTTTCTCTTTTCCTCTTGCCTTGTAATAATCCACTGGCTTACAACCAATATCTATATCTATATCTATATCTATGCCTATACATCTATATACTGTTTTTTGCTGGATTTTTTAGCAGGCAGACTCCTACACCAAAGTGATTCGTGAGAAGCATCAGTCACAGTAATCAACATTACTGGCTGTAACCGCTCAAGATTCACCAAAATGACACTATCAAAGCTGGCCAACCGTCAAAACCAGTCATTGACTTGGTCTTGGTTGGTCATCTAGCGGTTATCCGTTGCCAGCAGGACAATAGAGTCGATCGAGCTATCGGTGGTTCGGCGACACCAAAAGAACAAAAACCTTGAAAGGTTTTTTTAAATATTTCCAAAATATTTTCAGAGACGTTCAAGTGCTTGCTGAGCTACCTCAGCATGTGAATAAGGCGCCGAGATGCTACCGCCCCCGCGGGGGGTAAATTCTCTTGATCCTTTTGACTGCACACCACCAAGATCTCCTAGTATACACACGGCACAGGTATAATCTGACCAGAGAAATATCCAGAAGAAGGACAGAGTACCAGAGTGGGTGAGTGAGGGATGTTAGGCCTGAGATTCGCACGACAGGGGGCGGTACCTAAGGGCTTGGACACATGATCGGGTGGGTGGGGGTTCCTCATTCTGAGTGTTTTGCAGAATAAGAATGTGAATAAGTCCCCGCTTATGCTTATGCTTGTGCTTGTGCTTATGGTTATGCTTATGCTTATAGAAGCAGCTATATCAAGAAGTCAAGTATCCGGATGGATTTGTGAGTAACCAAGCTGCTATTCGAGGACCCGTATACAGTTGGGATAAAAAAGCGCTACTACTTCCTCAGGTTCACACACCATCAGCATCACCATCACCACTACTGCCTACAACTACTAGCATGGGGCCTCCACCGCCACCGCGACTGACAGGGACTGGCGGACCCGGGATCATTTACCGTCTCTTTTTGGTGGCAATGGTGAGGGCGGCAAACTGCCCGAGCGAGAAAGTAGTCTATAATAAAAAGAGCGCTGGGAAACAGAGGAGAGAAAGGTATGAGGAGTCGCCCGAGTTCGGTAGGGAGGTACCCCTTGATCCCTCCTTCCCTGAAGGTCTCTCTCTTAGTTTCTTTGTAGTTAGCTGTTGTCTCTTCCCTCTCACCTCTTCTCACGGTGCTCTTCCTTCCTTTATCTTGTTTATTGTACACACTACTGGCTGGCATATACCACCACTGACTTTGGAACGAGGACGTAGAGGAAGCCCCATCAAGCCCGGTGAGTCTCTGTTGGTGCTGCGCGTTACTACACACCGCGGGAACGGTCTACTGTCTTCGGGTGTCTACTATATTCGGGCTACCAAGTACCGACGCTGTGCCTACTCAGCGTGCTGTGTGGAACCCAGCAGCATAAGCAGCAGCAGCCAGAGAAGCTAAAGCAACCGGACTCGACAGACCTGGTCGAAGGTTCGTTCAGTCTACTCCGCGCAACCAAACGGTCCAGACCTACCTACTACCTACTACTGCCTATCTACCTACCTGTACTCACTAACACATCAGCCTGTGTTGTCTCTGAGAACACTCTTCTCACCACTCACGTTATCCACTGGATTTAACACCTCAACTGTGATCATCAGTCACCATCAAACCAACCTGGATACACCAACACTGCTTTACCACTTGGACTAATTCACTACCAAGGTAAGTCCTCTTTAATTATTTCATTTAATTCCGCAATTCCAAAGTTCGATTATCCGTGAACACCGCTAGTTTCTCAGTGACTAAAGTGATAATAATTTTTAACCATACCGGTCGGTCGATTAGCCGAGCTTGATCCTCATTCGGGAATCCATCATCCAACAAAGCACCATCGCTTGATGTGTATCCAAATGGAAGTTTGCTGGGACCAGTATCACGATTGGGCCCTTCGAGTATCATAATCAGCTCGCGTGTCCTGGGGTGGGGAGGGTGTGGTCCCCGCGGCTACGGCGGTTGGTCTTGGTACGGTAGCAGTCAGCAGCCTAAAACCGGTAGCACGGTTTTAGCGTTAGGGCGGTGCACAGTAGCCGTTGTTTGGTTGGCTACGCGAGTTCCTCACGCTCTTTGCTTTGCTTTCATCTCTCCCTTCTTATACGTATTTCACGTTTATGCACGCACTCCGTTGGTGAATAACACACCAACGTACGAATGAGTATCACGGTTACGGTTTACCTCCAAGTCTATGTAGACCGCAGTAGTCACAATCCGGTGGCGCCTGCGTAACACCAGCTGTCCAATTAGAGTCCGTGCTTCAGATTATCCAATGGACGACGCCCAGTGATCACTTGTCTCTGCTTCTTACAAAACTCATGTTCCAACACTTTAGACCTTTGCTTCATTTGTATTCACTTACGATTCCTTGGAGCTTGTATCGCTATCAAGATTTACATGTAATGTTTGGTAATATCTTGATGGTTCATGCTTCATTATCATTGTAAATGTCGATAGATATTTAATTCTAACTCTAGCTTACCTAACATTCCTAAGTTTTATATTCATTTGTTGGTTGCATGGTTCACTGTGTGCTCGTCCTCGTCCTTCTGACAAATCTTCCAAAGACTTACACTCAATCTCTGGATGCTAATGGCAAAAGGTCCTCAAAATGTAAATGACAGTGGTAGTGGTCGAAGGGGAGTTAGTTTTTTATCCGGATTCGGTGATAAATGGTTGGTGTAAAATCGGCAGTAGCTTTGTCTTCACGCGTGAACCAGCCGATGAAAATGTCACCAGTCAAAATTCCAGCTTCCCATCTGATAGGAAGGTGTTATTCGTTCGGTCTCTACCGAGCACGGCGGGCTTATCTCCTGCGGTCGGAATTTGTTGACCAAACGGCTTTATTGGTGACCGATCGTACGCATATCTAGTTTCGGAATTTCGGCAATCTAATCGCGCAAAAATCGGTGTTGGCTACCAACCGAATAATTCTTAAAACCATAAATAACAAGTTGGTCTTATTATTATTATTTGTATTTGTATTTACAAATGAATATATCAATTTGACAAGGATCTCGAACATAAAACCGGTGTCACGGATAATTGAGGTTATGTGTCTGGATCAATTGATCTTGATCCTTGACGTGTTGTGTTATGTTCCCAGGTAGCAGCAATTGTTGTCTCGGTTGTACTGGATCCTTGAAGTTGTTAAATCTTACTGTAGAGTATACACTGAGTGAGATCACTCGGACAACAAGGTGTAAGACAAGACGATTAAAAATAAACGTCGCTAACAGTCAGCCGGGGAATAAGAAGGAGTCACTTTGGCTGTTACAACAACTGAGAGGCATACACGGTGTTTACTTAACGGGAAAAGAGGACAACCATACTAGAGATATATCAGCCGTAAGGAGAGAGGGATATTCGCGTGAATAAGACTACATACACGCTTACATACACAGACTAAATTTACGGACTACATACTCATCCAAAGAGAAAGAGAGAGAAGGCGCGATTTGTGTCGAGACGAGGAGGAGAGCCACCAGAGTCTGAGTATATTGAGTCTATAGAACCGAGGGAGCGGTGGGAATTTATAAGGATGTTCGCGATAATGCCGATGGAGACAGAGGGGCACGGCAGGGAGTTCGGCCGCCGGCAGAAGATGCGCGCCAAGTGCACCGTCGAGTTCGTCTGCAAGTACTGCCAGCGGCGATTCACTAAGCCCTACAACCTCATGATACACGAGCGCAGTCATAAGGACGACGTGACCTTCACCTGCGAGGTCTGCGGAAAGTCCTTCAAGAGGCAGGACAACCTTAAACAGCACAGGTACCTTTTCTTCTTTATCAAATATATATATTTACTTTAACTCTGTGATATGATAGCGCTTCTCGCTCAAAACAATTTTATTTGTCTGCTGATGATACTTTTGTGATTGGTGACCATTGTCTTTGTTTTTTTTTTCACCGTCGGATTGGTGACTCAGTGATATTTCTTCCGACGGATGTTACTTTGTGGCTCTATAGTGATTGGAAAATAAAAAGTGCTTACACTGAGAGAAAAATTACTTTTTGTTAATTACCAGGGAATTGTTTTATGCAAAAAGTAATTGTTTGAAAGGATATTTAAAATTTTAATTTAGTTATTAGAATTGCTTACATTTAATAAATTTAAACTTTATTCAAGTTAGAGTACATTTTTTGAGTAACATATATTGATATTGCCATTCTAACACGTCGTATACTATAAAATTTGACAAATTGATTTTTTTTTGAAAAATAAAATCATAACAATATTATGCAAAACATATTTAAAATTTAAAGGTTAAATAGTTTATATAATAATTATTTTTAAATAAATATTTTCATCCGTTGAATCCCATTTAATCAATGTTAAAAATTTATCATTTTTACCGCCTGCTGTAAAATTTTCTAAATGTGGGATACGACGTATTACAATGGCAATATCGATATATTATTGATTTTCTAACAATTGCTTCAACAAAAAATTATTTATTTCGCAGTTCACTGTTCCAGTTTGGAAGTTAGATGTCAATTTATAAAGAGACTAACACTTTAATAAGCTAACCTCAAGATTCATTTTTAAGTTACATACTATTTATATTATTTAAAGTAATTAACAATAAAATTTATAAATCTTTAGCATCAAATCGACATTTTTAAAGTTTGAAGTATCAAGTGTCCGAATTATCGAATATAACTTTTGGATGGTACTTAATTACTCGATCTACTGCTTTGCAAGTGAAAACTTTGAACTATCTCTCGCTAACTATCTATCGTCGCGGAATAATTTAATTTTAATAAAATTTTTTTCACTGAAATTAAGAAAATATATAATAAAATCGCGAATGTCGTAAGAATTGCTATTACCGTCAATTTGCTTTTATAAAAAAAATTTTTTTCTTAAGAAATGCTTGTAACAATAAATTTCTTTAGTTAAATTTTTATTAAATTAATTTTTTTGGCTCTTGATTTAAATGGATTAAAAAATGATTTAATTAAATTAGAAACAATTTTTGATTCAAGTAAAATACAGAATAGTAATAGTTTGAAATTTTTTTCTCAGTATCGTCAATTAATTGTAAATTATTATTGCTCTAGAACAAGGACAATGGTCAAAAATAGCCTTGTGGAATGATTAAAGCATGAGTTTTAAAATAATTTAGTGAGTAAATAAATGATCTAAAGAATGAATTGATGGGTAGTACCAAGGTAAAATGGTTAAAAAAAATAAAAAAAGTCCATCTTACGCTGGTATTTTATTAATTGATAAGAATGTAAACGCAATCGGGTTCAGAGGGGTTGTAATTATTAAGGCGGCTTAAACTAATAGACCTTGTATTTGTAACGGCGGTGGTCTTGTTTTCTGTTCTGTTGTAGATGTGGGTGGCGGTGAGCGGGAGCTCTGAAACCCCCTGCACCTTATTACACGATAAACAAACAATAGACATAATAGACAAACAACAACAACAAAAAAATTAAAACACTTGCACCGAAAAAAAAAAAAAAAATTAGAATTCCTTGTTCCAAAGCCGCCTCCTGAAGTAAAAAATTGTTCACTGAAACTCCCAGATTGTTTTTGGTCAGACGGAAAATCCATTATATTATAAAGAGACAATAATATAAATATAACTGTAACTAAAAAACGTTTTTAAGAAAAAACCCAACGAAAAGCCCGCTTTGAACCCGTCCCGCGCTAGACAAAAGGAGGACAAAGTAAAAGTGAAAACCTTCCAAGGAAACGTGACCGTTTGTTGTCTGTCAACTCAGCATGCTACACTCTCCTCATACTGAGAGTACATTATACAACAAAAAGAACTAAATCAATGGCTCCTTTTTTATTTATAACTAAGAATCAGCTGCTAACACCAAAACGAAAAAAAAAAAAATATCAAATATAAATGCATGCTTAACATATATAGTCTGGATTATAATGCTAGAGAGAACACACGGCAGCGAATAAGACAATCCTTATATGAAAAAATTATTTTCCTGACTTCTATTCAAAAATTATAGAGACGAAAGTAGATCCTCATCCTTTCTATTTCGGTGAATCTGTTCCAGGAGCATACATTCCGTTTCTTACAAGGGCTCCAACGGCTACGCAAACGGCTATTCGAATGGCTACTCTAGGTACTAGACGCCATCCAGATCCGAGATCCTCTAGAACCTTTTTTTTTATTTTTATAACTATTTGTAGATTATTGTATTTGCAATCCAATCCTTAACCCCTATCATACCCAACCTAGTGCGAAACCCGAGAAGAGATGCCAGACATAGACGACATGTGACAACAAGATAGGATGACTAAGAAGACTGGATTACATTTACTTCACTTGATCCTTTTTTTACACCCTGTCTCACTACTTTTGGTTATTTTTAGACGTTTTGATTTTGGGCCTTATTTTTAAAATTGGGCCTCATGCTTTGAAATTGGGTCTAGTGCTCAAAATTTAATTTTGGGATACATTAATTTAAAATCTAGATAAAAATTTGATTTTTCGTTAAAAAAATACACTGGGCCTTATGGGACCAATTGGGTCTTATATTCTGAATCGGGCATCAAAATTAAAATTACATAAAAATTAATTAGTGGGTATCAAGACATTAAACTTGGGCCTCACGCCCTAATTATTAGGCATCAGGCCGAAATATTGGATTTTATTAGCCATTAACTTGGTTAAGTATCACAATTTATTGCCAAAAATATCAGTAATTGTAGTTGTAAATACTGGGACTTAAAATTGGGCCCAGGTATTTGGGTCTGAAGTAACCAAATCAGTGGTTTCCTCCTCCTAATTCCGGTCTCAATTCCATAATATTAAAAAGGACGACATAAATTAACAACAACAATAACAACAATTATCACGACGACGAGAAATAAAGGGCCCAGTACACGGGGCCTCATATTATCGGGCTCCTCCAGGCAGATGTCTTAAATTGGATGCGTAATAACTGACCGTACAGCGGACAGGCTACCAAAGTGTAGCAGCAATGAACGGCTACTGTCGACCACGCCCAAGCCCCAGGCGACACACAAGGCCCTCATCGAGCTTCTGGGCCTCAACTTCCAACACACTTCACCAATTGATAAGGATTCAAATTATTTTATTCAAATTATTTTATTTTGTAAATATCTTATTTATTTATACATAAGGCCCAAAATATTTTCTATTTTTTGGGCCATATAGTTTTATTTTATCTTTTTCTAATTGCACTGAACACGTAAATTTTTATTGTTAACATAAGCTTGTGTCAAATTTTTATATTAATTACGATTTAATGTTTTTCAAAAATTATTTTTAAATCGACTGTACAAATAAGGCCCAATTTTTTATGGGTCCTGTGGTATTTTTTTAGACTTATGGTCAAATTTCATATTTACTAGTTTGATTAATTATTTATTGGAAATCAATTAACAACCCATTTTTTACACAAGGCCCAAATTTTATTATAGGGCCCAAATTTTTTAAGAACAATTTTGATGAAATTTATGTTTTTTTAAATGTAATGGGACTTGGGCCATATAAAAATATTCTATAATTTTGTACATATAAGACCCAAAAATTTGGGCCCTATGAATTTTTTGGGTCCTACTTTAAAAATTTTAGCTGAGTCGTCGAATAACAATTAATTAAAAATAAAAGACCATTAATTATTTGGGCCTTAAAAACAGTAACTGTAAAAACGAAGGATGACATTTCTAAGTTCTATGATACAAAAATAGGCGACCTTGGGTGGTCACGTAAACATGGTGGTCCCAAAGTAATATATAACATCAGTGAACGTAGCCTGTGCTATAGATTAAGTTTCCACCGGGTAAACAGCAAGCCCGTTGTCAATTCAATTTCACATACTGTCCATTTATCCATCGACTCGTAATCGATCGTTCCGAGTGCCACTAATGATTAATTGCATTTTAATTTGCAGGAACTCGGTCATTGTCGTCTCTCACTTCCAATTAGCCTTCAGCACCCTACCTTTTGAATTTAAATTCGTTTTTCATTTTAAAATTATATATGCCCACTTAAAATAAATCACCCGCCTGGCGTATTACTATTCATTTATTCGGCAAGTAGAAAAAGTCATTCGAGGTCAGACGTCTTCTATTTAATATTTTTTTTCAATATTAAACATTAGCAAGATAAATTTACCTAGATAATATACCTACTACATATATTATATATGTTTATAAATAATTAGTGTTGTCGCAACTCGAGTTATCGAGGGATAGCAATTCAGCCTAATTTCTTTCAATTATACCTAAACTTTACTATCACCTCGGGCCAGCATTATGATTTTATTTATAAATAACAAATAAAATTTATAAAATTATTTTAAACAAAAAGAGACTGCAGTCGCGCTTTGTAAATAGCTTTATTGTGTTTTTAATATTATTATATTATTTTATTATTATTATTAATATTATTATTATTATTATTATAATTATAAATATCAAAATAGATAGTCAAGGCAACGTTGCCAGTTTTATTGATTAATTATTATTTTTAATTTTGTCCACAAGCCTAAGTATTATACCCACCACCCTGTTGTACCTAGTACTAGGAGTGATAATTATTTTTATTATTAATTATTAATTAATATTATTATTATTATTATTATTATTCATGCGTGTCTTATATATACTATTATAAATATACATAATTTATAACAATGTATACATTTAAATCAATAAGACGTGCAATGGTGCTTTTGTTTTATTTTAAATAAAAAAATTAATTAATTAATTAATTATAAATGTATACTTAATTCAAACCGCAAGCTCGGTTTTTTGTCAATAAATTTATCGAAAAATTTTTAAATATTTTTTTGTTTTATTTATTTACCAATTTTAAGTTAATTAAAGTTAATTTTAAGCCGACGGTAAGTTAAAATATAATTTTTGAAGTATTTTATTATTCGCAATATTTTTATGAACTCTCAATTGATTAATTTCAAATTCCTAAGTGGAATAAAATTTTATATAAGGTTCCAAATAGATTTTCCGCAATTAAAAATACTTTTTACAAAATTAATTTGGTTTTATTGTGGACTCACTGCGAAAAAAAAATACTTTATTAAGAAAATTTTCTTGATACAAGAATTTATATTCTTGAAAATTTTCAAGAATATATATTTTTAGCTCAAGAAATTGTTAAATTGACTGAAACAATTTTTACTTAATTTAAATAAAACTATTCTTTTGTTTATTTATTATCCAAAGATAAAATATTGATGTTCTTCTCTTCAGAAATTAATAATTAATAATAATAGAATATTTGATCGTCAGCGAATTTCTTGAACCAAGAAATTGTTAATTGAGTAAAAGTATTTCTTTTTCATAGAAGTTAATTCCCGGCAATTTAAATGGATTACAAAAAAATATTTATTGACGGAGAAATATTAATTACAATAAAAGTTTACAAAGACGGAATACTTGTTAGATTATCAACACTATTTTAAAGACTATTCTGATTCACCAAAATTCTGTTCAGAGTCTGAATAAAATTTCTTACCGACAATTATTTATAAACTTTTTATTTAAAAACTTAAAGCTAACTAAAGTTATGTACTCACTAAGAACGCTCTGGAGCAGTAATTTATAAATGAATACACGGAACCTAGGACTAAATTATTTGATAAATCTTTAGTATCAACAGAGTTTAAGAAATTACACGGTTTATATCCAGTTTTATTTACTGTAGTAATCTGGTTAAAATTGCTTGTAATTTTTTCTTTTTTCCAGTACAAATTTTTGGATATTTATCAGTCCTTTCCTCTCCTTTGTCACAACGGGTCGTTGAGGGACTATTAATAAATAATCAAACAATAATTACCATAAGTACAAAATGAAAGCTCTAAACAAGTGACTAGATAAATTTTACTAGTAATAGAAGAACATGGAAAGTTTCCAATCGAGTTGCATTATTTCAAAAATAGATTAGCTTGTGGGGAACCTCGATATAGACAGTATGGAGGGTAGAGGTATTTTTTTTCCTAAAGGCATAATTATGAGCTCTCCTTTTATGTACAGTTTCTCGTACATTTTTATTTGTTCCTCTTTAAAATGGAGATGACAGATGTAATCAGTAGCTTTTAATTCAATACCCAGCGAAATTTTCCAATTTTGTAATCTTGCCGGTGTCTGTGAAATTAGATAAATAAAAAATGAATATGCTTTCGTTTACCAAAAAAATTATAGAATTGAGCAAAGGTTTATAATGTAAGTTTTTCACGACACTTAAATTAGCAGACATTTGACAATTTTGATTATTTTGAATTAATGACAATTATAAGTAAAAAAACTATTTTTAAAAAAAATTGCACTTAAAAATTTTTTTTTTCAATTATTTTGAAATCATTTTTTTCGAAAAAAAAAAATTATAAAAATTTTTCAATGTCGGCTAATTTAATTTTCATAATTTATAAAAAATTAATTTACATACTGTTGGTTGGAAATACGAAAGAGGCTGAGGTGAACTATTTTTTTTGTTTTGGGATTTACGTCCACTTGGACAACTTTTCACAACACAAATTTTACCCATAACTGTTCTGTTATTCACTCACTTTTTCATAAAATTAAATGTTTATATATCAATAACCGTACTATTTACTGTTTACGAAATAAAATCACTCTAAACGCACGTTTGGTTATAATAATTCTGTAAGGTTATATATTTACCACAATATTTTGTACAACGTAAGTTGTTGAAATTCTCAATAATTAACTACTTTAGTCGATAATGACATTAAATTTTTTAACTCGGCATACTTCAATTCATCTACGATTGCTACATTCATACCATACCCTGTGCATTCACCAGCGCGATTGTGGAGGATTTTTGAACTGTTATTTAGCGCATACAACTGGACACTTTTTCAACTTTTCTCCCATATAAGATGACTCTCCTTACCTCTACACTCCATAATAGACAGATAAACATCCGGTAGTTTTCCAAGTCCTCTATGTACACTGATAGAAAGATTTAGTATTAGTTACTAAATGATTTAGTAACTATTACTAAATCACTTATTAAAGCCCATTTATTTCCACCAAATAAATATTTAGTAGTATTTAACAAATTATTTATTGCTACTCAATAAATCGTTTATTGGTATTAAAGAAATTCATTTTTTAACTAATTTTAGCGTTAAACTTTTTTATTCAATATAAATAAAATGAATAATTTTTAGTAAAAATATAAGGTATTATAAAGAAAAGAATCTCATTAAATTTTTTATTTGAGACATTTATAAAATTAAAAATTAAAAAAATTTTTAACATATCAATAATAGACAAATTTAAAAATTTAAACTAAACTCCACTGAAAAATGACGAGTAAGCTATTTGGGAGTATGTGTGTTTTCAAAATCGAGCTGAATAAAATAATCTGAGCCAGTGAATAGATTATGTATCACATTGGAATTAAAGCATAGCCTACCAACAATACTTACCAAATAAATATTTAGTACCTACTACTAAATATTATTTGGTAAGAAACAAATATTTATTTCCATATAATAAGACTTTGTTTATATTAATATAATTTATTTAAAATAAAAAAATAATTTATTAAACTGCACAGAAAGAAAAATTACTTGACTGGAGAACAAAATTCTTGGCTCAAGAAAATTTTCGGGTGCCTAAAGGAAGACCGAAGTTGTGTTGGCCGAAGTAAAAATTTTTCTTGAAATTCTATTCTTTTTATATTTGATCAAGATTTTAAGATACTTTAGGGAAGCAGCGTCACTTACTTCAGCTGAGACAAAAATTTTCTCACCTTGAGAAAATTTTTCTCTTGAATATTTGATACCTATTATTTTATAATTGCACGCTAGAATAATATATTATTCTAGCGTGCAATTATACATATTGAATGAAAAAAAATGATTCAATATTATTTGACCTTTCCATTTGACATGTTAATCAATAAAAATATTAATGAAAATTTACTTCTATCTTCATATTTAATTTTTTGGAGCAAGAGAGAAATTTTCTCAAGACAAGAAAATTTACTTCTATCAAGAACTAAATTTTTTGGAGCAAAAGGCTGAATTTTCTCAAAACAAGATTTTCTTGACTTAAATAAATTTTCTTAGATCAAGATACGTATTTCTTAAAGCAAGAGAATTAATTTTGTTGGAATAAGTGAAATTTCTTGCGTCAAAAAAAAATTTTTTTTTCGCTCAAGAAAATAATTAGGGAGAAAAATATTTTCTTGGCTCAAGTGAACCTTTTTTTCTGTGTGTAACAAATATTATTGATGGGTAAAAAATATTTTTTTCTCCCAAATAAATGCCTAAAAATTTTGTTATTAAATCAGTTTATTACTCCGTACTAAATCCTCCTACCAGTGTACGCAATTCCATTACAAAGAACTAAATTTCCATTCTCACTTAGCTACTCTAACAAAAACGATTTTAACCACTAAAACCTCCAACTTGTTCATAATACCCCGTAATTATGTAATCCATAAACGATAGTAAAAATATTAATAAACGAAATAGAAACTAGAAACTCGTGCAGCTAAAGTCCAACCTAAGAGCTTCCCATGGACTCTCACCTCCTCGGGCATTTGTTGAACTTCAAATGAGAGATATGCAAGATGTTACTAATACTCACCTCACATCGACATCGACACAAATATAAACAACCATCCATGCATAAGTACACATATCTACATCTAGATACCAGTTACTAGATACAACTTAATAGCAGGTAAAAAAGTACCCGGGAATCGTTAGCGTAGCCGCTAATAGTAAATACTGCCACTGGCTTTCACTAGCATCTAGCATCTAGCATCCACCATCCAACATACTAATGCCGCCGTGCCGGAATAGGAAAGAGTTGATCAGTTCACGCTCGACTACATCTTGAATACTAACTACCTAATTTAACCGAGCCAGTAAATATTCGTCTAGCGTAACATATTTTACCCATTGACGCATCAGACGCAATACTAAATACCCGATAGTGGGTCAATAAACGATTTTCATCAACCCGGGTGCTTGGGCAATCCTGATCAGGATTGATCGGGACTCCTAAGTCCTCACTGGCAGTGATGGGATAAAAAGACCGAGATCGCGTGAGTATTTACAGTAACAAGAATGAAAAATGTTCAACTGGTTGAGTGTAAGCCTACGAAACAAGAAAAAGGTGGGATTTAAAAGGTGTCCTAAAGGTTACTACTGATGATCGGTGGATGATGATCAAAGCCTGTAGATTAGTCTGGTGGCTTGAGGCGAACACGAGGTGTGTTTTGCTCGACTGGTCTCACCCGCGCCTCACTTGCTTATATTAACCATGTGTGTGTGTGTGTCTGTGTGTGCAGATCAAACGTATAAACATGCAGAGAAATGAGAATGAGCATCGGTATTAAATGATGCAGCTGTTTTATCTATCTCCGACTAGGTATCGCTGTCCCTCTTCGAGAAACGCATTGCAGATTGCAGTATAACTTTATAACTGGAAGCCCGTTTTATAACACTATATAGTTATAAATAGTGGATGGCTGCTGATGCTGATGCTGATGCTGATGCAGAAGGTCGAGGAGCGCCTTTCACCTAATTGTTGGCACAATATGTGAATACGGAGGCGCTATGGTTCCCATCATCCACTTCTAGATCATTTCTGTTCTCTAAGCGTGGGCGTTGGTTATTTTTCTCTTTTCTATTAGTTTGTTATAACTCTCCAATAATTATGACATCATACGCTTGTAGTTGTGGGTAACCGAACACCTATTCCTGGAAAAAATTGAATTGATTTTTGACAGTATATAATCATGCATGATTCAACTATTCATGGCTATAGTTAGATATGATTGTATGAGATTTGGTTATATTGCAATGTAAAATAGGAGTACTTTAAGTAAAATAAATTGTAATTGACTTCGAATAGTACAAAATGTCTACGTATGATATTACATTCATTGTCTAGAACATAAACTAAAAATGGTGTTCTGCTTTATGGAAAAAAAGTGCCATTCAGCTATACCCGACATGGATAGGTAGATTTCTTGTTTGAATATTGAAAAAAACGCGTTATTAAAGGGCAATAATGTCCTAAAATTTATTTTATATTATATTTTTGCAAATAACGATTTGAGACTAACTACAACAAATAGATATTTAAAGATATCTACCTAAAAAATAGGATTTGTAATAAATAAAAGTCATTTGATGATAAAAACTAAAAATTAATTTTTTCTTGATTTTTTTTTAATTTTCCCAACTACGAAATAAATTTAAAAAAGCATCAAAAGTCGACGAACAATAATAGCTGAAATTGAAGATAATCATGTGAATTCTAAAATAAATTTAATAGATTTAACCTAACTTTTACGGTTTATAAATTATTTAAAGAGAAAAGGCTAAAATACGTTCATTGAAAAATTTTTTCAAATTTTCAAAATCACGGAATTAATTAAAAAAATTAAAACTAGACGAATAATAGCTTAAATTAAAGGTAATTAAATGAAGTTTGAGATAAATTTATTTTCAATTATCTGAAAAATTATTTTCATAAAATATACAAAATTCAAAATTTTTTAACAATAAAAAAATTTTCGAACACCCACAACTTGTAAAAACAAAACAACAAGTTCGAGTACAGACTAAAAACAGATCAAATTTATTGAGACCATTCTATTGAAAAGGATAAAAAGCATAGATGCTTAAAAATTTTAAGTACAAGTCATCTAAACTAAAAACAGATCGAAAATACTTTTAAAAATCGATCAAAAATAATTTTAATTTTAGTTCAACTTTAAATCTAGATTATTAAAATCGAAGTTTTAACTTTTAAACTTGGCTCTTTATTAAACAATATGATTAAAAATTATTTTACATGTTAAACGCCTAAGAGAGATAGTATTTAAAATGATTTGAAGGATGAAAAAGTAATTAAAATGATTAAAAATTAAATTATTTCGTTTAATAAAAGGGGAGGGGGGTAACATCAAAACTAAGTAATAAAAAATTTCCTTTCTTCCTCCAAGCTCACTTATGACCACTGATCACATCATCTTAGGCTTTGTCTTTGTCTGAACTAGTTCCAAGAAGATGACTATAACCGGTGGCACCCAAAAGGATTAATTAAAGGGATAACCGGCGATTATTCCCCACTCAAAGAATAGTTACGCCTTCTGCAATTTCGCGGTCCTCCCGTTCACCACATTAGCATAATACAATATTCGAAATAGGCTTCTATTCCTCTAAAGTAATTTAAAACCAACCAAGTTTTTTCTTAGGCAATAATAACCTTTATCTTATTCCGAATCCCTAAAACGCAACATAGTATCTTTATTTCTCATGAGCAGGCCTTGTGTTTACGGTGATTTGCTTAAATCTATAAATTACGATACGGCAACCGCCTTCTCTACCGACCAACACATAACACCAACATCAACACGGTTAGACCTTTTCTTACTCATTTATCCACGTATCCATATCCATTTCTTATTTTCTGACTCACCATCGAGTTTGAAGCCACCAGCACTTTGATAATAACAATTATTTATTTGTTGGACCATCGCCGATGACATTT